ATGACTGGGGAATTGGTGGTATTTCTGAATATGGTGGATATTGAGTTGCATTGTTATTTGCTTGACCAGTTAAAAAAAATGAAAAAATGAGAGCTCACAAGGCGATTCGAATGGATTCTGCTCCTCTTACTAGTCGACTCACGTTGATGGGTAATGAGCATCGGGAAACTACTGTAGGACACTTGGATGACCTCCAATGTTTAAACCTATAGAATGTTGTCCTTTCAATTCGTTCTTGTTCGAAAAAAGTCACTCTCCAAACAAAAATACTAAAAAAAAAGAAGAGGAAAAAGAAATTGGGTCAAGTGATGTTGCAATTCGATTAGAGCAGTTGGGTGTTGGTTGTGGAGTTGTTTGGTGGATGGTGACTGTGTTATATTGTTTAATCCAAATTGGTAGCGGAGAACTCGAGTAATTTATTTGCTCGAGAATTTTGTTGTTTATTTGAGCTTCTTTTCTGGCATATATATCTTTCCTTAAACCCGCATTACAACCCGTAAAGTCCTCTTGATTCGCATATTTTGAGCTTTGATTGTCTTGAGTAATTTAAACGATTGACAAGCATATGTTGAAACTTGAATATTGACCAATTTTGAGCGTACCTATCATTTATTCATATAAGAAAATGAGTGAGGCATATGAGATGATCTATGTTTTGAGAATTTGTCATTTCAAGGTCAAGTTGATATTTGAGGCATATGGTCATACGTTCATTGGAATTCGACTCAATTGAATTGGGTATTTTGAGACTCTTCTTATTTGAAACCATATCAATGCTCGTGTCTTGTTTTCTTTTCTTTTTGTTCGGGACGAACAAAGGTCTTAGTGTGGGGGAGTTGTTTGTCCTATTTTTGTTGCATTTTTTGTTGTCATTTTGCTTTTCTTTTACCCCCATATTAGGTCTTTTAGTTGTTTTTTAGTTCGTTTTGTAGTTTATTTCGTGGTTTGCTCTATTTTGGTATTTTTTTTTTTGTTTCTCGTGTGTTTTTCCGGTTTTCTTTTATTTTTGGTGTGCAGATCGGAAGCCCCATGAGGAATGGATTT